CTAAAAATGGGCCTGAATTGAACAATTTAAGTACATTTCCATTTTGCACTTGATGGTATAATATCATAACAGTATTTCTTGGTTGGTTTTACCACAATTGTTGAGCATGAAGTTCAACATTACCTCTGCAGTCCAAAACCCTCCTTGATCACAATGCGTACTAAACATTTAAACCATGAATCCACAACCACCAAGCCAAAATATAGCAGCCAAGCCAATGTTTCATTTTCAGCCATTTTGTTTGCATCTTTTAAGTGGGAAAAATCATACTTGACAAGTTCACCTTGTTGTTTCACCTTTGCTTTCTCTAGTTTTTTCCCAACCTTGGTATTATCTTCTGTATGGAGTGGATTCTTTTTCTGCTTCTTTTTCTGTGATTCCTTCTCCAAATCCCCAGCTTTTTGAAGATTACTAGGATCATTTTCATTTAACACCTGATGTTTGTAGCTCTTTTTCTTGACATGATCACTTTTTTCATCCCCCTGGACCAAAACTTCGTGGTTTGAGACATTGTCATCTGGTTTCTGCCTTTTCGGTTTCAATTTCTTCGTATCAGAATCACTAGAGTTTTCAAGCTTACCAATACCACCCTTAGTACCACTCTTAGTTCCAGCCATCATAAGATGTTTGAAGTCTCTATCTTTTCGCTTTTCTGTTTGACTTTCTTGCTTGTTAGCAGCATTAAGTGAAGAATCATCAACTTCATCAACTCCAGCATCCTTTTCATTCTTGGTGTATTTATCTATTGGTCTTGCATTGAATACGTGCAGGTTCGGCAATATTCTTTTAATCTACAGTAACATTGTTTCTATAAGAATTTTTAACAAGGGTAAAACTGGAGTCAAGATAGAGATCCAAACAGGAAAAAGGCTAGGACAGTAACCAATACCTTCTTTGCTAATTTATCCTTTTCAACAATAGGGTTCCCTTGCAGATTGAGATTTTTCAGATTGACCAATGAATCGAGCACCTATTTCAGAATGTGACCAAGATTCAGGGAACATTTTTTCACAAAAATAGAAAGAAAGATAGAGAAACAAAAGTTTCTGCTCCTTGCATCTTACCTTCAGATCGGACCATCTTGTGATCACATTATTCCCCAAGTCCAGATTCTGGAGTTTCTTATTAAGAGCCAACTCGGCTGGGAGACCCTGAGCATGCACACAGATAGTGAATAAGTGAGTGAGATAGAGAGAGCAACCTAATGAGCAAACCCTGACAACACACACATAACAAAACTAGCTACTTGATGAACACAATTTATTTTCAACATTAAAGGGAAGAAATAAACATGAGATGACTGCATAACTTGAAAAGAACAGTTACTATAACTGAGCAGGGAAAAAAAGATAATTGCAATAAAACAGTTCTTAAAAAGTTTACATAGAGAAAGCATACTTTCCAAAAGGTTTTTTAAACCAATCAACAGTAAACAAACCTTAATATCGTTATGAGCAAGACGGAGCTCTTTCAGTTCACTACAGGACTTGAGTGAAGACTGTATGGTTTGAAGTTGGCAGTGGGAGAGAGAAAGCTGGAACCAAAAAACATATTCCAAGGGCTTTAGCTGAATGTAAATGATGTTACCACCAAGGACAATCAACGACCAGAAAACTGTTTACCTTTGTGATAGATTTCACCTTCATCAGAGAATCACCAATGTCACGGATCGGATTTCTAGAAAGAACTACAGAAGAATTTCAAAAGTAAGAGAGCACAATTCATGTTCCTCAAGTCAGAAATCTATTGTTTATTTTTTTTTTTCATTTTTCCTTGATAAATATGAATCATGAACTAGAACTCATACCAAGAGTGTTCAGGTCTCTCAGAGGTTCAAGTCTGCAAACTGAAGCAATCTCATTATCTACACAACCCAGGAGATAAAATGAGAAACAGTAGACATAGAGAGATAGAGATAAATAGAGAGAACAAGAGAGAGAGAAGCTCTTTTGTGTTTGCAAAAATATGAGCAATAATAAAATATTAGCCCCCTAAAGTAAGGCAAAGTTTCTAATCCTTACTTGTCAAGTTGAGCACAAACATTCTTTATTTTTTGGGATCAGTAGGTGCTTTAACCCAAATGGGAAACATGTTTTTTTTAAATGGTTCGTGTGTTTTGGAATTATGAATTTCATTCTACAAACCAACTTTGGGCCAAAAGAGACATATTTATCTGTGATATAGGCATAGATATAGTACTGAAATTCAAAGTACGATGAAATTCAAAATTTCAGATAAATTAGCACTACGCAACTAGAACTTTTTCTTTATTCACAAAATAGGAACATTCGGAGGAATTAACTACAGGAAATGAACTACTAACTGTCTTAGAACAAATACTGCAGCCTCAAGAATGTGAACACCTCATAACATTTTCTAGAATCAAGGATAAGCAACCTACTTTGGGAATCGCTCAATACATACCCACAGTGGAGAATTCCCATGATCCGCAACGAACAATTACAATTACTACCTATATTAAAATACCGTACTGGGTGTGGCAAATACTTATCCTCCCATAAACTATTCACTATAAGTAGTCCACTTGATGTAGGATATTATGATTTTGGCTATTTCCATTCTTACATCATAAAGGTTTCTAGGATTTGGAGCCATTGCTTTCTTGCTATTATCATTTCTAGAAAATGTGCTTACAGTCCTATAATATGCCCTACCACCATAATATGACAAAGTGTGCTATTAAAAGAGCATTCTATTATGGTGTCAGTAATACTACTAGTCTCATTTTTGTTGGTGTCCATTTTAGTTTGCTTGGTTACCCATTCGTCTAGGTCTTTCCATTTTGATCTTGTTTTCACAAACAACCAAAAAAAAATAAGAATAAAAAGACACTATTTGAAGAAGATCTTAAATGATATTCTCATAATATTTAAAACAAAACAAAAAACAAAAAAACTCACCGTTCAATATCACTGCACGTAAGCTAACAATAGACATGACCTCATCCATTACCTTGAGCTTATTCTTGCCTGCATTTAACACCTGATTACAAAGATTGAACAAAGTGACTCTAGAACCCAAATTGGATTTATTGAGTATAGAATTATCTTGACTTGGCCTATCTATAGCAAATTAATTACACAGAATGAACTTAAATAAACAAATGTCTAAAACTAAACTATCAGCACTCTTGGTTGTAAGCTTTCTAAAAAATTGTTTCTAGGAAGTGGAGAAACAAGAAAGCAAGAAGCAGCAATTTCTCTTAGGGCATACCTTTTACTTCTCTCAAAGGTGGAATATTTGGAGAAGCTGAGAGTTTGTCCCTAGAGAAGAAATAAGCAGGGGAAAACTAGAGATTTATTCCTCAACTTTTCTCCTATTATTTCTCCTCTCATAAGTCCTAACAATGATTTCAAAACACACCGTCAGGTTAGTTTCAATCCTTCCAACAGATATAAATGTTTTCTTTTACTTTGTTCAATCTAGTCCCAAATTTCTTTGTTTAGTATAATTATTTCATATTTATTCACTCTCATTTTAAAGTTTCGTTTGTCAACTCAATTACTCATCTGGAACTGACCCTCCTACTTATGGAGAAAAGTAGCTGACAGGCAGGCCTAGGATTTATGAAACTTTTGGCGACCACCACATTAAAAGGGAACTAAGTCCTAGCACAATTCCTTTCAGGACAAGTTTGAAAGGAATTTTCATCATGCCAATAAGGATAGCAGGGAGAATACAATTCAGGTGGAACACATTGGAAAAAAATTCCACTAAAGATTATGTTTTCAATATATTTGTAAAACAAAGAGTGAATATAGGTCTCCAAATCATCTAATCTCAAGAAAACGGAATATGTAGTTGTATTCCCCAATAATGATTAATCGTTCTTAAGGAAGTACAAAATCTAAATATTTCATATAATTGTAAATTTTCAAGTCACAGCCACAAGGATTGTAGTGTCCATAGTTCTTACTATTTGAAAATTTCACTTCACTCTCAACTGGAATCTTTATATATATTTTTTATAAAAATATTCACTTGATCCACCAATTTCCTGCATATTAATTTGTCAACTTAAACCAATCAAAGCCACAAACTATGGCTTCTTGGGATAGAGTTTGACATATTATTCTATATTATATATTTTTCATGTCATCTTTGATATAACCATAATATTATACAATTTTCCTAATATCAACATTTTTCTTCTTAAAAGATTTCCATGGTCGCAGCACACATGGGCCTTCCATTCAAAAACATATCAGCATGATAACAATAATACCAACCACTACAAGATATAATTTTGAATGAAAAACCCATGTGAGCTAGGACTCTGGGTATAAGCTCTTATTCTTGTACATGCAAAATGGCATGTAATTTAACAGGATAAGAACTTAATATATCTGAATTAATTGTTCTGGGAAAATCCATCACTGGCTCACTCAGTAGCCATGATTTCTTGCTCTCTGTTGTTTAGAGAACAAGTTGCTCAGAAAGCATAACCAGGTGCATCAGGAGGAAGCTAATTATGTTAGAAATCCTAACTGCAACAGCAAAATTGAACACCATAAACTATTGGTTATCAAGTTTACGGTATAACAAGAAAGAGTACTGTAGCAGAAAAAATAACAACTGACCAAGAATTCAAAATTCAAAATTACCACTAAATGAGCTTTAGAAACAAGTCCAGACTACATGATGTCCCTACACAAACTTCCACATCCAAAAATGCAAGTAGCTAAAAGGGTATCTTCAAAATATGAACAGCTTCAAACACCAATATAAAAAGCAACAAAAGAAAATTGTAGGAAATGGTTGGTACTTACAGTGAGCTTAGAAAGTCCTTCAATACCTTTGAGGCTTTGCAGTTTATTGTTTGCAACTGACAGCCATTTTAAATTGACACATGACTTTAACCCCTGATTTTCAAGCACACAAATTTAGCTTCACAAAAATCACAGCACACAAATGAAAGATGACAACTTGACAAGTACCTCAAGAGAAGTGAGATTGTTGAAGCTGAGGTCGAGCCTCTCCAAGTTCTTGAACTCGCTCAAGCACGACACCTACACATTTACACACACATCAATATTATCTATAAAGGAAGTTGTATAATAAACCAAAAAATAGAAAAAAGGACAGGGGGAGAGCAGAAAAACGACGTCGTACATCGGAAAGAGCCTTGTGATTGAGCTTGAGACTTGAAATGGAGTTGGGGTCGCGAGTGTTGTTGTCCTTGAGCACCTGCTCCAAACTCAGACGGTTCATGATTCTGCCTTGTGCTGTGCTTTCGCTGAAACTCTAGCTTTGCTTTTGCTTTTGCAATACAAGCAACTTCATGCTGCAGAACACATTTCGGTTTCGGGCTCAATGAGGATCGCTTGCGTTAGCTGCGTTTAGGGTTTCGGAATACTGGTGTGATGATGAATTTCGTCTTTGCAATTTTGTTCTGGGCTTTCGACCGCTCTCTCCTTGGGCCCTCTATTGTCTCTTGCTCTTTTTTTTTTGTTCTTTTATTGCTTTGGATTACATTTGCAAGGATGAAGACTTAGCAAAATGCCAATTTTTTACAGAGCCTCAAACTTGCTCACTTCCCTATGCTCTAGCCTGAAGTCTACATTTGGTGTCTAGGATTGAATTAAATAACTCACAAGATTCAAAGTATGTTGAAGTAAAAAATGAAGGTAGAGTTGAATTTTTTTCATTTTATGGGGATTAGAAGGAAAGAGTTAGGAGTGGGCATCAATCCGGCCGAACCAATGAAATTGGCCGATTTAAATTATAATTACCGATTTCGTTTAATTCTGACAAAGAAAAAGTCAAATGGTTTAAAAACCGAACCCTAGAAAAAAATTAGTGTTTCATATCTACCATTTTGTGGGGATTATAAATTTCCTTTGCTATGAATCTATCTTCTATCTTCAATTTGGATAAATTTTGGAAGTTGGCATGTGTTTCTTCATTTAACATCTGGAAAACCTGTGATGGTTATAATGAGATGAAGACGCTGTCCTACTTTTTAAAGAACAGATATAGGACACAATTCATCGTTCATAATTTTTACTCAAGTCCAACTAATTACACCAGTTGAGCTATAAGGCTGGCATTGCATGAGCATTATTTTGTATAAATATGACTACTTTACCCAACCAAGGGAACCAAATTTCTGGGGTAACACCTGCCGTTCTGCGTTTGTTAGGTGTCAAACAAAGCTGAAGAAAATTATGTCCCAAGAGGGAAGCACAAGCAACCCCTAGACAAGACGAGACGTCAGGTTCGGAGATGGGATCCCCTTATGGACTCAAGAAAGGCAGCATACATAATTTTCCTGTTTGTAGTAAATACCTAGTTTCTATTTTTCAGGAGTAAATAGGGAAAGGCAACATCCATGATCACCCTAATAAACCCGATGTAAGTCGACTCCAGACCCAGGTAACAGAATTCTCATTCACCTTCGGATGGAATACATGGAAGTGTAAATGGGGAAAAGTTCTTTCATGCAGCGGTTGTATATTTCACATAAATGGAAGGGAGGGAATAATCGGCACACCTAATTGCGTCAAAGAACCCTATCTCATGGCCAATAATGACTACTAAACAAGGGAGCAAAAGTGACAATACGATTAGAATTACCTTCATTAAGTTATCACATTTGAAAATTGTGAAGCATCTACGACGCAGCTGGAAAATACAGATTACCCAGAGCTCAGGAAACTTGAAGCCATTTACTTAACCGATGTGCCACTCATACAAAAGCCATGGGCAATGAAAATAATAATAAACCCGATGTAAGTCGACTCCAGACCCAGGTAACAGAATTCTCATTCACCTTCGGATGGAATACATGGAAGTGTAAATGGGGAAAAGTTCTTTCATGCAGCGGTTGTATATTTCACATAAATGGAAGGGAGGGAATAATCGGCACACCTAATTGCGTCAAAGAACCCTATCTCATGGCCAATAATGACTACTAAACAAGGGAGCAAAAGTGACAATACGATTAGAATTACCTTCATTAAGTTATCACATTTGAAAATTGTGAAGCATCTACGACGCAGCTGGAAAGTACAGATTACCCAGAGCTCAGGAAACTTGAATCCATTTACTTAACCGATGTGTCCCACTCATACAAAAGCCATGGACAATGAAAATAATTCACAATTAAATGCTACTCCCAAAACTAAACTTCCAGCGAAATTCTCAGTTCTCATGAAATGTATTTTTCCTGCTGCTCTTGGAGAACCTTTGCTGAAGACTTAGCATCCAGATATAGCGTATCCACTTCCTCTAGGTCAGCCTACAAATTGTAAAGATAATAACACACTTATTTTGTCAGTGAAAAGGCTTGAACAATTCACTTCAAGCACATATAACATTGTCAAATTTGTAACTACCTTGCAAATTTTGTCTCTGCCATTCATTTTTGCCACAATACTTGCCGGCGATAAGAGCTGAACAGCATGCCTGAGGAAATAATGAAGTAAGCAATAAGCATCATTCAGAGTGAATCAGAGTTAACAAATCAAAAATTTATGCCACCTTAAAGATGTTCGTTGTCCTATCTCTCCAAGGTAAGCCAAACTGTCGTCATCTATTCCCAGTTCCTCCACCTGTGCACGAATTACTAAGATCTGGTTCAAGCATCAACCAATAGAATAATCAGTAGTTTGATACATAAAAAAATCAGTAGTTTGGTACTTGAGAAGATGATCGGGCATAGAAAGAGAAATTTTATAGATAACAAGCAAATGAAATTGATATAGACCTTTATCATCTCTTCAAGATCATAAGTCTGTGTTCGGATAATTACCAACCGGTCCAACAAGTCAACAGGTATTCCATGAGGACTAGCCATATCAGTCCCTCTGCACAGTAACATATCCATGTTCAGAAAGCAAAACTCTAGTGAGCACACTGATGGTTTTAGGAAATTCCTTCACAATTAACATGGAAAGATAGGTATGGCCTAGTTATGCTTTTATGCTAACAGCAAGCATGCTAAAAGGCATGGCCTCGTTATTGTGCAAAAGCCTGTCTGATTACAAGTTTCATACCTTACATTGCAAATTCCTCTATTGGTGGCAAATATTACTATTGGAGATAACGAGCTCTCCAAAGCACGATTCAAGTATGAAAAACACTCCATATCCAGCATATGTACCTATTGGTCAAGATTCAAAATTATAAGTGATTTGGACAGACGAAATAGTTCTAAAGGACTTGAAAGAGAAAAGAACCTCGTCAATGAACAAAACTCCAGGTACAAGCTCCGCTACACCTTCATCAATGTACCGATTAACAACCTGTCATCAATCATAAAGTAAATTAAACACTTTCCTTCGCCTTTATTTTATAGCTAATGAAAATATTATTAAAGGGAAAGAAACTGCTAAGGAGGTGCGAGAAATGGGTTTAGGATTTAGTTAGAAAGAGAATAATTTATTTAAACTTATTAATTAAAATAATTTATTTGCAAGACGAGTACACAACAGTATAAGAAATGCCCCACCCAAAGATTAGAGAAGAAAAAAAGTTATAACCAGAAATTAAAAGATGAAGCTCTAAAATCAGTATATTTCCAAAAGCAGCCTAGATATGCAACAAGAAACTACATTTATCTGGAGCATGATATTATATGGGTAAAAAAAGTGAGAACGGGCATATTTGTCACAGCGGTATGACTCTCACAGGCTATGTTTGTGTTGCAAGGGCAAAACAGAATCAATGTAATCAAGCCCAATTAGATGGAATTTAAAGCTGACGTTGATCTGATCTGAAGTATGTCAATGTCTTGGAAACTCTTTATTAGTTGACCTCTCAGAAACATTAGTAATTTGTCAACAGGCTTTTACAAATTTACTGAAGAAATAAGCAAGGAAATGTTTCACCAAGAAACCATATCTTAGGTTCCGACGACAGAAAATACATTGAGTTGGATCAACATTTCCTACATATTCATAAGATTGTACCTTATTTATTTCTTGTCGCAACTTGTCAGTAATTTCAGTTTTCCTTGGCTTCATCATCTGACCCATTAGAGATAATATGTCTTGCCCACCTTGAGGTCGCGCATTTGCAGCATCCAGATCATGTAGTGTTACATCCTGTTAAAGAGTTACATAAGCAAACAGAAATTGAACATCAACAGGAGCAGATTATATGTAGAGCATAAAAGTTGGAATCTGTCAACAAAAATTGAAAACAATAATAACTTAAAGAAAACATGAAGAAAAATAGGTCAGAAACACCAGTGTTAAGGATTTACTAAGATATGCCTATATATGGTAGTTCAGATGGGTATATGGTAGTTCAGATGGTATTCCAAGAAAATGTTAAGTGTCCATTTCTACTAGTACCAAGTTATAAGGCCAAAAACCCTTAATAATCGTTTCATGGGTGGACTGCAGTGCTCAAGTCCAACTACTTAATTGCAGGCAACTAAACTTTTCAGCATGTTTGGAGAATCCAGTTTCCTATATTAATCAAACAAACAGAAGTAGGAATGCACTTTTTGGGAAATATCTGGACCATGCGGGGATGATACACATTCCTTTAAGAAAGTAGTACCCAGAGCCAGCAAGAACTATCCACCGATCAACTTGAGTAATTACTAATAAGGCTACTAGCCAATAGAAAAAACCCATCCAAGACTAAGTATGATAAAACGGGTGCAACCATCATCACAGAGAACATTTACAAAGAAACACACATTTCACATAGAACAAACCTGCACAATCTCCTTCTTTTTGTGAACCTCTCCTTTTGGAAGTGGAACATACTCTTCTGCTTCCAGATCAAATTCTGTAGCAAAAGCATCACTTCTACCTACTCTTTTTACTGCTCCACTATTAGCTTCAATGTATATAACATCACCAACAGCTACCTGCATGTTGTATCAGGAAAGTGGTATCAAAAGAACAAATGGCCCGAAAATAAAGTGTACTTCAACATGAAAACCTTAAATAATCAACTAGGCGAAACAAATAGTTTTTTTATTCTTCATGCATACACAAAAAATAAATAATAATAGGAGGACCTTACCTTTTCCTTAATCAATGCATCATAAATGGTGGGATCCAACTTCAGTTGCTTGGTTCCTTTAACAGTTTTTAATCCAATGATGACGTGGCTGATGCTTTTACCATAACCACCTGTAACACTCTCTGTTTCTTCTGGTGTGAGTTCCGTCACCTAAAATGAAACTATCAAAACATCATCAACTGAAACCAACCAACTCAAATATAAAAGTAACATTATCACACTAAATTATTTACAAAATATTTGATATCATTAGAAACTTGCCTCTCCTTCATAGACCTCTTTATTTTCCTTGATACGCAGACCAATAGCCCGTCTAAAATTTTCCATTAAAACCTCTGTTTTCTTTACTTCTGATGAATATACTTCTGATCCAACCATTGGGCAGAATGGAACCTGCAAACAAGAACCATTAACCATTAAGAAAAAAACACTATCCCTAATGGAATATGAATCAAGAAATCTCATGAAACATCAGATTATTAATTAACATTACATTTCAGCTGACAGATGAAAAACGTGAGGAATACCTTACTCC